TCTGTGCCAATAGAGAGGTTAGATTTTTAAATAGAAAGTGGAGGGGAGGAAAGAGAAAAGACTTAATAGGAGAAGAAAGATGCTAAAGAAATGAAGGATGGGGAGCCAGTTTATTGTGCACCAATCTATCACTTTCTCTTGGGAGAATATGGAAATGACTTGTCTATAAAATTCTCATTAGCCTAAAATAAGCAAAAATCTCTTCTGGAATCTTATAAGGCAATGTCAAATTGAGTAATAAAGGCTTGTTTTTAATGAACTCTTAGGACATTGGTTGAAACCTAGCACTACTAAGCTGTCTCTTAGAGTCAATTTCCCTGTCTTCATGATACTTCTCTGTGCTAGGGTGTCTGGGGGAGGAGAAGAACAGAAAAGAAAAAAAGAGTCATTTGACAATATTACTGTATTTGGAAAGACAAATGGCTTCCTGACTGTCAACTTGTCCACATGCCAATAACAAAATCCAGTATAATTTGTCTCTTTTTTAAATTCCATTCCAATTCTGTGTGAGGATGCTTGTTTTGGAATTCAGTTGCTCTCTTTCAAATTAAATCAGCCAAAGATTGATTATTACATTTGAAACTAAAGTGCTCAAGTAAGACATGCACAACATTGAAACAAAGTAGCTAAATTAGTAAATTAGAAGTGATTGAACTAGTTTATCATCAAAGTTTTGTGCAGGAATGACTCAAGTCTAGAGGATCATTTTGCCTTTATAAGGTAACTAGAAGGTAATTAACGATTTCCTCTGCATATACAACAATTGACCAACTTCAAAGTATTCGGTGCGTTAGTTTAATTCAGATAAGCAACTTTCAGCTTGCATGTTTATCCAGGACTTATCTGAACTATTTGGGTTGAAGTACATAATAGGAACAAAACCTAAAACTAACCAAAAGTTAATATTTTACATTAATAAAACACCAGCTATACTTAAAGAAAGAAGTAGGAAACCTGAAAAATTAGGACACTCTCCTTGACTGCCATGAATCATGTTAGATCCATTAAAATTGGTGTAGACCACTGACATTTAACTTCTTTCCATATGTGAAATTCTGAAGGTTTTACTTATGGGGTATATTTCACAGGATCAAATTTACCTATTAATGTCATATCTGTTACTTTTTATGTACTACTTTGAACATGCTCAGGCTTGTAGGTTTCCCTCCTTAAGACCTCCTCTGTAGCCCCTTCCTCCCCTCTTTTATTTTTTTTTAAGTTTTGTTTTAAGTATGTATTCAGGCAGAAGTAAGTGGATGTCATTTTGGTGATTGTGCAAAACTGTGGTATTTCTTGATTTATTCTTTTCTCCCGTTCTCCCTTTCAAATGGCAGATGGAGACAGTAAGTTAATGTAGTAATATTTCCAAAGGAGATTTAAAATGGCTTTTAGGAACTTGAGGTATGTTCCACCACACTAGTTTGTAGAAATTGGCATCAGGGACTTCGATGATGCCTTTGACCATGAGATAGTCAGTGCCCACTACTTGACAAGCCACGTATGATGGACCTTTAATCATGGATGAGGTAGAATAGCTCAACTGAGTTGGCGTATGGCAGCACATAGGTCTCAACTCAGCTGAGTTGAGGTGAGGCTCATAAACTTCCAGTCTATGAATAGGTTGGCTGGGAAAGTCTGGGTACATTTTTGCAGGTGTCAGCTGAGATATTTGTACATTGAAGGTGAGGGCCAGAAAAACTACCCTGTCTGTGGGCTTTGTTTCCTTTTCCTTTTGAAGAGTGAGCAGTGGGTGTAGCTTTGGGAGATACAGAAGGGCAGAGTGTCAGGGTACACCTCTGGTCAGGGAGAGGTTGACATCTCACCTTAAGATTGTAAAGTGCTTCCTTTCTTGCTCTGTCTTCAGTTTGCCTGACCTTCAGCCTTCCCCCAGCTCTTGCCAAGCCTTCCTGTGTTACAGGCTAACTCTCCCCTGCCTTTATGCTGTTGCCTTCAACTGAGCATCTGACGAAATCCAGCTCCCACCATGCTTTGTGTTGGTGGTTGCATGATGCTGTTCTGGCTCCCTCATTCAACCTGCTGTTCTATGCCAAAGCTTGGGACCAGTCTTAGTACCTCCAGTGCTTCTATAGACTTCTCATGCTGGTCTCAATTTATAAAATTTCCCTTTTTCTGCCTGAGAGCTCCCCCTGCCATCATGACTTCTGACCCACCAGTGCTGCCAGTACCGTGTATATTGTGACAGAAGAGGCTCAAGCATAGGTGGAATTTGGCTCCCTCCTTCCTGCTTTCCACAGGAACAACTGCTGACACAGCAGGGCAGAGGATTTTATAGCATAGCTTGGATGTTCTCTTCAAGTAAGTGCAGTGGTGATTGCACAGAGGAACTACCTTCATGCTTTCTTGACCAGACTAGTCCTTGAACTGAAAATTTCGGTTTAATATGCACATCTGTACACGTGTATTAGCCCAGGGTCATTAGCTTTCTTACAGGGAAAACATTTTAAATTAAAGAACATAATTGGTGAGCAGTAGTTAGTTTCCAACCTGGCCCTTGATTCTGCACACTCCTGAAGACACCAGCCCCATCTGGTAAAACACACACATGGAAACTTAACAACACAATTCATTCCATCTTGAATGTGCGGCACACTAGTGGATTCTTTCTTGGACTGGGACCAGGATGCCAGTACGTCTTGGACTTCTGCAACTTGAGGGTACTAAAATGCATTGAACAGGCTCTGCTATTCAGCAGGGTTTGCAGTGGGCAGTATGTGAGACTGTGGTACAAGATTGGCTTGGTGTTTTTTTTGGAATGAGACTTCAAAATGCATAAGAGAAGTATAGGGCTTCACATTCCTCTCTTGAAATGTTGGCCTGTGTGTATGAGAGCTCACGCGGAACTTTGTTAATATGCTGAAAATCCGAACACTTCTTTAGTATTTGAAATCACTTCTTAGGGGCTTTGCTACTTTAAAAAACATGAGATTCAGATGTATGCTTTGTACCTTTCAATATTTGTCAAAGATTAAATTATCACAGCCAGCTCTTAGAATACTTTTAAAACATACTTCTTTCTACTTAGGCACGTAGAAATGGTCACAGCATCTGCAGATTTCTCCTGTGTTGCTCTGTACTTAGCCTGGAAAAATGTCTAGGTACTGGAAATCTTGAAGTACATGTCTTCTGCTGGTTAAGCTCTTAGCTGGAGGCAGTTAACATGTTTGTAAATGATCTCGATATATCAAGTTTTCTATACATTTGGAGTTGAATACAAAATTTTGTGGGTATTTTAAGTTCCTCGGCCATTCAGAGTCGTGACCCCCAAGTTTTCTTATACAGTGGCTTCAAAGATTTAGTGATGTAGGGCTGATAACTTGCCTTTATTTTCAGCAGGGCATAAAATGTAACTTGAAGCAGTTCAGGACAGTGCACCCTGCACAGCACAGCATGACTTAGGGAAGCTGCTGAGATAGGGTGTGGAAAGGGAATGGTTCCATGGGCATTGTTTGACTGACTGTAGTTTTGTGCTTGGTGACTCTATATGTCTGTGTTTCAGTGTCTCTGGCAGGACTCCTGTTGGTTTCTTGGGCTCTTTAATCAAGCCTATTTTGAGTAAAATAGACTAGGAAAAAAACCCTCAGAGCAATAAATGAAAAATGGGCATTTTTCCTGAAGAACATGGAGTATGTGTTCCTTTAATTTTATTTTTTTAGAAATGCTTTGACTCTCCAAAGAATTAATTTTTAATTGAGACACTTTTGCATTAATAAACTAAGTGTTAAAATAAGTATTTTCCATTTAATATGTCTTTTCTGGATTTAACTTTCTGGTGAGGTATATTATTCTTTTCTTTGTGTTCCTTTTTGGTTTTCCTTTTCGCAAAAAACCAGAAAACAGTGAAAGAGTGGGAAGGAAATTAGCAGGAACATGTAATAAAAAACGTGGAAATTAATGTGGGTTTTTTCCAAACAGCTCAATGAAACTTGATTTTGCACATAAAATGCTTGCTGATCCTGTGCACAGGCACACCAGCTTATTTTCTGTTAACAAAGTTGTCATATAACACACTAAGACGTATAAAGCCAAGTCCTGTGGGACTCCAAAATATCCCTGCTCAGAGATTCACCACCCACATAGAACAGCCTGATGGCTTTTAGTGTATGTGGATGTTGATCCCTTCTGTCATGAAAGCGAGGAAGGTATGAAGAAGGAGTAGCTCTACTGATGTTAGTGCGTCCATACTGAGCTGCATTGGCTGAAGAGCTCTCCAGGGGTTTTGGTTAATGGATGAGGATAACATGGCCAGGCTGGATGATGAACGTTTCCAGCTCCTCTTACTCTCTCTCCTCCCTCTCTCCCTCCAGTGCATGAGTGGCTGAGCAGCTCTTGAATGGAGAGCAGAATAGTCACTGACATCCATTTATAGGTAAATTGTCACCAGTTTTGGTTTCTCTTGAACAATCATAGTTTGAAAGGAGTTTGACCAGTCATGCACAGACATCTGAGGTGGGGGTTGCTTCCAGCCCTCCCAGGGCATGATCCCGTTTTTCAGTCCCAACTCACAGCTCTACCTCTTCTGTTAACTCAGAGGAGAGGATGAGTTGCATTTAGGATGCTGCTCTGCAGGGGAAGTTTAGCTAGAATATTAGTAAGAATTTCTATACTGAATGAGTAAGTGAACAGGCTGCCCAGGAGGTGATTGAGTCACATACCCTGGAGGTATTCAAGAAACTTGTAGCTGTGGCACTTCAGGGCATACACTAGTGGCTGAGGTGATGTGATCTACTTGTTTTCTTGTATTTTGTTTGGTTTTTGTTTTGGGTGGGTTTTTTAGTTTGTTTTGTTTGGGTTTTTTTTTTTTTGGGGGGGGGGTTGTTTGGGTTTATTTTTGTTTTGGTTTTGGTTTTTGTTTTGTGTGTGTGTGTTGACAGTTGGTCCTTTCCAACCATGACAATTCTCTGATTCTGTGATCTTCATCAGCAGTCTCCACAGGGTGATTGTGCTCAGCCCAACTGATGTGCATCTGTTTCTCCTTCTAGATTGCAATTTCGGAGGAAATACATACAACAGCTCTATGAAATGGCAACATCCTAGCAATCCCTGTGTTACATACCAGTGCCAGGTAAGGATGTCATCAGAATCATGGTAATTGTGTTTTCAGCTTTTCCCATGACATTTTGAACCTTTTTTATTCAATCCAAATAACCCAAAATATATTATGCCCAAAGCACAATAGAGAATTTGTGTTTTTAAGTAGTTTAAATCCACTCAGATGTGGCCAACTATAACCAAACATTCAGAATGATAGATTTTTTTATCACTTGAGTACTCAAACATTGCTGAAGGAGATGTCCACAGCCCTGCTATTTCCTGCTGTCTTGGCCTTGAATTAAGTCCTTGTTTATCAGCACACTAAGCCTTTTCTGAGATACAAATTATTATTTTAGTAATCGGACACTTTTGTGTGTATGTTTTCATGGATTTTACCTGAGATGTTCTTTAAGAGAAAGCCTCATCCAAATCTTATTTTTCTGGGCTACTGTGCTGTTAATACAGTGTTTTTCTTAGTAGATGACTTATGTGCAACCATAACAGTTGCAAGAGTGTCCATTTTCTGCTACAAACCAAGTGGTTATGTAGGTAATTTTACTTTATGTTGTGGACAGATTTGCAGTTTTTGCTGATAATTTGATCCAGTTTTAATAACACTCAGGCAGCTACTCAGAATCGGGTATTGGAAAGAGGAGAAATGAATGAGTATGAAGAGTAAACAAAAAAGCAGGAGAAAAGGATTTCAAGATTTTTCTTGTTTACCGTGATACTTCTGCTCTACAAAACCCACCCATGTTTTTAAACTGCATTGAGAAAAATGATGTTGGAGCAGTAGTATTCTGTATCCTTGCACTTAATGAAGATACTGCTTGAATTTAGATACTCTGGTCACTACTAGAGATGTGGAAGGAGCAGTTCTTTATTGCCTGTTTCAGAGTCTAAATGCAAAGGTGGGTGATCCTGTTTACCCTAGACCCACACATTTAAAAAAGTGTTTCCCTTGCCTCCAAGTGCAAAGCTACAAGCAGCAAAACAGTAGCAGCCTTTTGTGCACAAATCCTCACACCCAGATTTGTTCAGGAGGACTCTTGACTTCTTGAACAACAAGTACAGGAAATGTTAATTTACTAATACTTATCAGGCAAAGCATCAAAGATAAGCGTCTCCCCTCTACAGAACAAGATGCTGTTATCTGCTTTCTAAGTCTTTTTTCCTCCAAGGAGAGAGAGAGATGAGAATACCTTGTGTCTGGCCTGTTTTCACCAGAGCTGCATGGCAGATTACTGAGGCTAAGGATTCCTGATAAAGCAAGATTCCTTTTCCTAAGGAGATGCTTGGTTTCTTACCTGATGCATTTTAAGGCAAATCCTGTGTCTGGAGTCAGGGAGACTCAAGTGACTCTTTTTAACTGTGGATTAACCTCAATCCTGACGCCAGGGAGTAGGTACAGAAAGAAAAGAGGTTTTGAAATCCAGTGCTCTGCGGCATGTGCTGAGCTTTAATTGTACCCCTAGTAATTGTGGACTTTTGCTTGTTAAAGCAATCACGATGTTAACCATGAACATGTCTGATCTGCTTCTTTTTTCAGGAAGGAGTGATAGTAGAGTCAGAGGTACAATGTGTTGTTCATTGCAAAAACCCTACCAAACTCACAGGAATGTGTTGTCCTGTGTGCCCAGGTGAGATTTCATGGGAAGATGCTGTTCCACCTGTGCAACTGTCTTTCTAATGATAACCATCATTGCCTGGGAATTTGCCTCTAAGGTCTCTGTTGTACTTGACAAGTTACTAAAACCTGGGGCAGTGGCTCACAATGCACTAAATGACACAAGAAGAGAATGCTTTGTGGTTTTTTTTAGTAGAGGACATGCAGATAGGAGATGCATAGGTAACAGCCTGTGGCAATATACACTTATATATTTATGGCATTTTTTCAGAGGGTCTGTCATCTGGATTTGCCTGGCTGATGGCTGGGAATTTGTTAGAAGAAGTATAAGAGTAATCCTAAAAAAGGAGGCTCACTTTTTTGAAGGGGAGTGGGGATAGATTGCTTTCGTGAAGCCCAGTGGCAAATTAACATGGTTTGATAGGCTAATTTGATTTTAACATAAATTTTGTAGGTACTCACTGATCCTGTTGTGATGTGGTGGGTTTATTATATTCTAGTGTTATAATTTCTGCCAACATCTGATATCAATGCAGGGAGTAAGTCAGCATTAATGAGCAAACAGCTCAGGAAAGTGTTTCAAAGCCACTTTTAATGGAAGACCTAACTTAGCCTTAAGTTCACTGGTGCAAATTTATCTTCTAAAGAAGCTTGCTTTCTTTCCCCAAAAAGATTTTTTTGGGATTCTCAAGGCCTTTGTAAAGGCTTCTGAAGTGATTTTGTATCAGGTAGGATGTTATGATTTGCTTTTCATATTGTCCTGTGGTGGGGTGTGTTATAGTGAAGTGGCAGCATGCAATCCTGAGCTCAACTCATTCAAATGCTGTTTTCCAGGTTGTATATTTGAAGGGAGACATTACAATGAAGGAGAAGAATTTAGGCCTGAAGGAAATAAATGTACCAAGTGCTCTTGTATTGTAAGTATTTGCCTTTTGGCATTGTATCTCCCTGTATGAACTTCAAAAGGCACGTTACTATTGCCATAACAAAGCAAAAAATTATAAGGAATTCAATAGTATTATGCATTCTTCTTTTGGAGTTCGGGTTTCTCTTGAAGGTTTTTCTGCACCTATATATTGTAACACTCAATATTCTGAGTCTGACATATTTTTTGTGACCTTACACTGTACACAGATAGAGCAGGATATCTGGGAGAAGGTCAATGTATTAAGTTGGTGATGCTTCTTCTGTGATGGCATCATGGAGGAGAAAACAGAAGGCTTTTGGGGTTTCATCTATTGATCAACATTAATTGTATGTTTCCTTAAAGCAATCTGTCACGAGGGTTCCTTTCAGCTGTACATGGCAAGGGCCTTTGCTCTGAATTGCTGAGTGAAAGGATGAGATTAGTCTCCTTAGCTGTCCCAGGTGAATTTTGGCTTGATGCTTAATGAAAAGGTCATATCCTGGATTTTATTCTTGACTAGCAACAATGTGGAGAGGAAATAATAATTGCATCCTTTAGGTAATGAGCACAGGCTTCTCTTTCGCTTCCACTACGTTAAGAGATAAGGCTGTAAGAGTTGGGGCAGATAACTTTGACTTCATTGGTGTGATCTGTGAGACCTGTAAAATGCAAAGTTCAAATTGCTGCTTTTGTTGCAATCGATGGGCTTGTTATCAGCAGAAAATGCAAGGCTGAGGAACTTTACATTTCAGTAGAATGCCTAGAGTTTTAAGAGTACCAGGCACAACTCTCCTGCATCATGAAAATAAAATAAAAAAGATAGGAGAGGAGGATAGACTTCAAAAATCAACATGTATTTATACATAGATGCACACGTTTAATGAAGCTGCTGCAGAGAACTTGGACTGTTGTGGGGAAAAAATCCTGCCAATTTGCAAAATGAATGTACATTAAATCATCACATTGTTCCTGTGGAGGCTGCTCAGGTCAAGGTTTAGTTTTGGTTTTTTTGGTTGAGCTTTTTTGCTTGTTTGTTTGTTTTAGTTTTATTCCTGTAGTAATGAAAATATGATATCCCATGTGTCCCAGTGATATACACCCTAGGCCCCTGCTCTGCTAAGTCTTCAGTCCCAGGCTGAGGAACATTGTTCCCTCTCTATTTGGTGGGTCCCCCTTTCACTTCAGCTTCAGTTGTAAAGCAGTAGCTTTACACTCCTGCTTTCCTTAGTCACATTCCTCAGGAGGAGGCAGGTCTTAATGGTTGTAAAGTTTGTGGAGACACACTTGAGTCTTTGCTCTTTCCTAAGTACTGTGCAGATGTTGCCTGTTGCCCAGTTGTTGGTGTGCCAGTATCTCCTTGATCAACTTTTCTTTGTTCCTTAAATAACAAAAGCAACCGTACCAAGAAGAGCATGGGAGGCAGGAAGATATCTGGGGAGAGCCACGTAAAGAAATATAGGAATATAGGGTCAGACCTGATGGTCTTTCCTTGACAGTTAACAGTCTCATCTATGTTAGAGAAAGAAATGCATCAGCTACTGATAGTAAGACATTTAAAGCCTCAAGCAAGACCTTAATGATTCTTTCTGAAAAAGACAGTATGAAGGTTTTGGATGTTGATGACATCTGTATAAAATGTCAAGCTCTAATTCTGAATGTTACCAACAGCAAAATAAATTATATCTTTGTGTAAGCCACACCTCACCTCCCTCTCTCTGCAATGCCTTTTTTTTACCCCCTTCCTTCAGAATTGAGGCCCATGCTAAATCCTATGTAATTTAAATTTGAAGTAAATAATGGGAGCATCCTCAGGGCTGTGATAGCAGTTTGCTGCCTCCTTTACATCCTTTCCCTTTTGGGAATGGATTCCCAGTGAATCTCTTAGATAAGCAGCTGGTGGATGTCTTATTTAAAGATACCTATCTAGTCATGCCTTGTGATATGAACCAGCTTGTGTGTGATGTGCTGTAACTTGTGCAGGCTTTAACAGATGAAAGGTTGCTCCTCACCCCAGATTAGATTTCTTGTGGGATTTCAGATTGTAACTACTTAGCAAGTCTTCCGTGGAAAATTGGCAGAGGAAGTGGCACAAATTATTGTCAAGGTATTTTGATGGGTGGTGTAAGGATTCAAGCCACTCTCAATTCAGGGTGAATTCTGCATTTTACTTGGGATCAAGCTTTTCTCAGGGTGGACTCATTCTGGACTCTGTAGGCCATCACTGTCCTACGGGTAGCTCAGGATGGGACCACAGGCAGTGTTGTGCAGGAAGAAAGTAGAGAGTAATGGTTGTGGTTTGTTTTCCTGGAGAGATGTACGGTTATCTTGCACTCACTAAATTTATTAAAATATGGAATTACTTAAAAAAAGGAATTTTACCATTGCAAAATCATGCACTTAAAAGTCAGCACACTTCAGCGGGCCTGGACTGTGGAGCCCAGTCTTTGGTAAGCTCTCTGGTAGTTCATGTTTGTGGTATTTTCAGCTCAAAGCAGTGCCTCCTGGATACTGTTGAGCTCCTAAAGAACAGAAAATGGTTGTTAACATTTGTTGTTGTTGTTCTTGTTTTTAACATGCACTGCTTGTGCAAAGGAGGACAAAACGGAGATCTGAAGAGTTGGGGATCCTCATCTTGGCTAAACAGATTGGCTGATGGGGAGGCTTCCCAAAGGGTAGGGGAAGCAATGGCATGGCTACATGTGGGCAATTCACTCTGTCCTGCACGCTTGGCTCATTGATACAGTTTCTGTTTAACACCACTTGAGGTTCTAGATGTCTTCTACTGAAAACCAGACCAAACCCACCAAACTCATTCTATGTAGGCCACCAAAACAACACATTAGCTAATAACTTTTGGGTTGCTACTGAGCCAGGCTGTGCTTGCGACTGCGAGGAGGAGATGAAAGGCCCTGTATTCCATTACTGCCCTCCTGAGCGAGCTGCTCCTTGGGGCGACTAAGATTTCTTGCTGAAAGTGAAATCGTATCACGTCTCACTCAATGCATATTGCCTGTCAGGAGAGAACGAGCTGGCTTTTAATGACTCAGTTTCTCTGGGGAGAGGCGTTTGTGTAAGAAAGGTGGATGGGATAATAGGGATCTCCTCGCACCCCGGCTGAAACCCAGCTGTCTTGCAATAATTCATCTGTCTGGCCTGTTTCTGCTCTTTGTGATAGGCCAGCAGCCTGTTCTAGAGAAACCTTGGATATTTTCCCTACCATAAGCACCTACTTAAATGAAGGACTAGCTGCTTTAATCAAGTGTTATTTCTCAGATACTACTTTTATGAGGTCGAGTGTGTGTTTCTGCTTGCACAGTGAGAGCACTTGGCTTACATGTTTCCTTTCCTACAGCCTGCATTAAAATAGTCAGACTGTGATTATCTCCAGTGTTTTCATTTTCTCTTTTGATGTAAGACGTTTGGAAAAAAAATAAATAGTGGAGGGGGAAGGAGAGAGATCCAGGGAAGGAGGAGAGGAGGTTTGGCAGGCAAGTGACCTTGCGTGAGAGCTGTAACCATGGAGAAGCTTATCTTTAAATGGTAGTATCCAAACTCATAACTAGCCCCTTTTGACTCGCGCCGCTGTTGCCCAGACCATGGGCGCTGCGCGTTTTGGCATGCGAGGCATGTGGTGGTACAAGGTACCACCATGCTGAGAGCGCGCAGCACGATGGAGACGCCGCAGCCCAGGCCTCCTCTTCCTCCACACCCCTGCAGGGAGGTGGCTGGAGGCTGGATTATGGCATTGCTGGGATGGCCTGGTTGGGAATGGGAAGGGTCACGCCATCCGTCTGTCCTGCAGGGAGACATGTCACTGGGATGGCTGTCATCAGGGCGGTCACGTGCATTTGATCCCCAAGCAGCATCATTTCCTAAAAGCAATACTGGTTTCTTAGCTGCTCTTCCACAACAGGGATTTGGGGTGCTTGGAGTGCTCAATTTACAAGCAACCTCTGCTCAATCTCCTTTGCATCACTGGGGGCTTTCACACCACTGCTCAGGCGTGACCAGGGGAACTCAAGACACACGCAGCTCCTGGTCTGCAGGTGTACTTGTGGGTCTGTGCAGGAAATGTCTTGTCACTTATGTCTCTGAGTGCTAGGGTGCAAAAGCTGCAAGATGGAAGTTTTGCACAAAGAAAAGGAAATCACACTGAGAAAATCTGCTTCTATATCAATGACTAACAGACACTGCAACTGTGATAAGTAATGAGAAACTACATGTGTTAATGTTTTGGACACTGAGGTTGGAATTCATCTTGTCTAGCTCCAGCCATTCAGAAGTAATGTGTCTGATCTGAACTACTTATCTGAGCTCCTCTTCAGTTAATGGAGAGAGAGAGGGAGGTGGGATGGATTACTCTCTGCAGATGCCTATCTTTCTTAACGAACTACAGGGGGAGCCTACCAGACTCCCTGGCCTCTGAGATGGCTGAAGATAGCTGAGATGGATCCTACCCCTGCAGTCAGCTGGGTGATAAAGCACCTTGATACTGCTTTGGCTTTAACAGGCATTGAGAGCTGCTGAAATACATTCCCACCACAACACACTGTGGGGGAGCTACTCCAGACTACAGGGAACCTCAGGGGAACATGCATTTAACTGAATCCTCAGTGAAGCCTGGTAGCAGAAGCTATGTCCAAATTCTAATTTCCATCCTCAGTGCAGTGCCAAATGCTGATCTCCCCAAATTTCTGTGCACTCCGGCTGCTTTGATTCAGTTCCAAACTTCAGCAGACACTCTATGCCCCCTCTTCTGGGGCTGGGAAACAAAGAATTGTCATCAGGTGTGGAAAAGCAAAGAGCTGGTCTTTTGATAGGAGCAGTGTTCACTTTCTCAAAGTTAGTGGCATAAATAAAAGTGGTTGTCTTATGAGTGGATGCAAATGAAGAGCAGTAAACATCAGAATAGGGGTGCTGTGTCCTTCTGGGAACCCCTAGAAGTTTGTCTGCAAATTTTCTGCAAGGCTAGAAAGATTGCTTTTCTGGATAGCCTAATAAAAACACAAC